TCTAACCTGTATTCTTTCCAGCTCCTAGCTGCACAAATCTTGATGGGTGCTAGAGTTTATGGGAGGTAGAAGGCTGGCTGGAATGAAATGATGTAGCTTCTTTCCAGTCACCCATGCTACTGTAACTACACCCAGTAAACTCATTGGGTTAGCATGGTGGACCTGGATGGAACTGGTACTTTATTCTATTGATGATATGGGGTGAGTAGATTTTCGTTTATATCTCTCCAGGAAAAGTTACCAAATAAGTACCTTAGTAATTGGTTGGTCAATTAAATGAGATAATTTATGCACGCTGCATAGTAGATCTATAATAATGTTACATTGAACAAGTAGTATATGCTCAGTAAATGCTGTTAGTCTTCATTTGAAAATGGAGATAGCAGCACTTACCTTGCAAAAGTGCTGTGAAGATTAAATTAATTGACACACACATATATGTAAATCCAAACAGTGCCTGATACATTTTAATAATAAATATTAGCTTTTATTATTGTTAATACTATTATCATATTTGTGAATTTATCAAAATTTTATATTGAGGTACAGTACCAAATTAAAAAACTTTTCCTATTTAAATATTTTAATAACAAATGCTCTCACTTTAATGCTTGATCTGGTAAATATGGGACAATGACATATATGCACAGAACTTCTTAAGTAGCTAATCACTGAAACTCTCTACATGCTATCCCCATTTACACATATTATACTCTTAATGCAATTCTATTTGAACATACTTCTTTCTTTAAGGACCAAAATAAATGCTGTAGATGCTCACTGCTGATGTACCTTTAGGTGGTATCTGAAATATTTTTTAGGAACTGGGCACTCTCTCTCTCTCTCTCTCTCTCTCTCTCACACACACACACACACACACACACACACACACACACACACACGTACATACATACATACATATATAATTCACACATATAACTGGGGAGACAGGAACTTAGAAAAATATTGGGTTGAAAAACTCCAGGATCTTAGGTGTGAGCTAGTAGGGACTTACTGGTCTTTTCCTCCAATCTCTTAAAACAGATAGTTCCTAGCTCATTAACGTGTCTAAGGCTAGGCAGCTATTATATGGCAGAGCAGGGCCACAGTCATTGGATGGTGCTCATTTGGAATTTGGTTATTTGGCTTATTGAATCTCTGGGGTGATGAAGCTGTCAGATAAGTTAGATATCTGTTCTAAGCAGTCTGCTTTTACAGGGTTCCTGTGGAGTCTGTGTCAGAATGCCAGGAGGAGTTCAGGCAAAGGAGGGCCCCTGCGTGTGACTAAAGCATGCCCCCCTCTCTTTTGGTCTTTGCCACATGTAGGGTGTCCAGAGAACAGAGATTCTACCACCTGCTCCATTTCCCCTCCCATTATTGAGGTGTAACTTAGATATATTAGCCTTTTTAGTGCATGTGCTTTGAGTGTTAATTAATGCATACACTTATGCTTCATCACTGCGTTCAAGATAGAGAAGAGCTCCTTGACTCACAACTGCTTTGTGGCCTTTGTATTCCCCTCTCCCTATCCCTCAGCCTGGCAACCACTTCCCTGTACTCTGTCTCCCGAGTCTTGCCTTCTAGAATCATCATACAGTGTCCATAGCCCATTGAGTCTGGCTTCTTTCACTTGGCATAATATAATTGTGATTTGTCCTGGATGTGTTCTTACAGTCTGCGCATTTGTGGCTCAGCCTCTTTCATCCTTGGAGTCCTAATATGTAAAATGGGCATAAAGTGGGTAGGAAGAAAGAATGCACACACATGTTAGGTGTTAGGTCGAAAGAAAAGCCAGTTTTCAAGTGTCATAATTCTTGTTAGGCCATCACCTGTTTGAGGATGAAAAGGCAGGTCTATTGGCAGCAAAAACCATGTAAAGCCTTTGTCTGGTGAATTGAGAAATACCCAGCATTACTTTCAGAGTCTCCATCACCTAACAGGCCCTAGAAACCGGTTCCAAGGCTCAAATGCTACCAAGAACACTTGTCCAATAGGAACTCTCACTGGAGGATATAGACCTCTGGCATGCTGCCCCTGTCATACTACTTCCTGAGGATGCTGGGAAAGATAACCTATGTGTGAAGTTTCTTGATCTATTTGCATGAAGGCAATTTTCAAAACAAGATCATGGACATCACTGATACTTTGTAAGTCATTGTATGGTGGTGGTGGTGGGATAGGATTATTTAGCATACAGGGTACCACACAGTTCTATGAGAAGATGGGGCTTCTCTTGGCTCAGAAGGTACAGGGAGGGGAGCGAGAACCAGCTTTGCATTCCTTTCTAAGTGCTGTGCAATTCTGAACTATAGAACATGTATGACCAAAAGGCATTGCCTAGGTACATTTACCTAGATATGAAGCATGGTGGCGAGAAGCCAGTCTTTGATTCTCCCTTCTGGTTTGATCGTATTTGCCTGGTAGATGAGTAAGTCGGATGTAGACAGGGGCACAGATGGGAGAAAAACAGCAATAGAGGTGGGTAGGGGTGCTAGGTGCTACACATGACCCTGCTACTAAGTGTGTGCCTTTAACTCATCTGGGAGAAAGAGGGCCTCCTAGTAAGTCACCCTGTCAGAAGCTCATGCTGCCCTGTGAAGGGGAGTGCCACTGACTCCCAGCTCTGAGCATCAAAGCCAAAGGAGCAGAAAGCAACAATTTTGAACCTTCTAGTGAAGTCTTTCAGAGACGCTCACTCTTTCCAGGACCAGCTGAATAGGATTCCAATAAACATATTGCTGAAATGTTTGTTTCCGGGTGTCATTTTAGACTGCAAGTAGCTAAAACAGACCCAGTTCCTATATATAGACGCTGCATTTGGTTGTGCTCTAGGAGGCTTTTATTACTACGCTCCTTGGCTGCCTCCCAGATGAGCCTTTCCCTCAGATTTTGGAATTAGGAAGTCAAAGAGGATCACTGACCATATTAAGGGTCTCTCTCTCTCTCTCTCTCTCTCTCTCTCTCTCTCTCTCTCTCTCTCTCTCTCAATAGTCTGAATGCCAGCATAGACCGGCTCTTCTCTCTGCTCAGAGCCTCCTAATATTAATGATGACACTACTGATGGGAACAGACCAGCCCCACTGTGGCAGTGAATACAGGCAAGGCTCCCCTGCCGTCTGAAGGAAATAATTTGTGTCAAAATGAAGTATAGAGGGCCACACACAGCCCAATCTAGATAAGACGACCCAGAACCTTTAGTGGATAAAACAAAGAGAGGAATTTCTAAAGGTGTTTAGTTCGTTTGTTTTTTTTTTTCTTTTTCTTTTCTTTTTTTTTTTTTTTTTGAGGGTGGGTGTTAGGATTTTACTCATGAATTTTCCAGGGGGATGGTATGCTAGGACCACAAAGGTGAAGGAAGAGAAGGTGAGGTGGGTGGCAAAGGAGGAGGAGAAATTGTCAGCAGGAGTGGGGAAGAAGGGCTTCTTTAAGGAGACAGTGTTGGACTCTGGTTTTTAAAAATGTGTCCCGTCCCTCCACTGTGTGTCCTTTGTTTTCTCGGCCCCATTTTCCGGTGGCTTTCTTCACCTGCCCTGTGATCTTGCTGTGTTTACCCAGCATGTATCTAACAGCCTTTCTGGTCTCCGTATTTCATGTCCTCACCCCCCCCCCCCCACTTTCCTCCTCCCCTGTTCCATCCTCCCCTCCTGTGTCCCCCACTTCTCTCTCAGTCCTTCATTTTCCCAGATTCCTCCTCTCCTGCCTTCCCTCTTCCAGTTCACTCTTTGCCCCTTCTGCCTCCCTTCCTCCTCATCTTCCTCCCTTCCCTCCCCCTTGCTGTCCTCCCTCCCTCCCTTTCCTCTTTCCTCGGGCCCCCTCACTGCCTATCACCCTGTCTCCCCTCTTTCCTTCCCCATCTCCCCATCCCCTCTCCTTGCTCTCCTCCCTTTCCTTTCTTCCTCTTTCCCTGCTCTCCCTCTCTGCCCTACTCCTCCTTTATACAGCTCCAATTCCCTGCCTTCTAGATTTACCTGCAGACCAAGACACCGCTCCTCTTGCAAGAACTGTTTAAGAAATCCATATCCTCTCCCTTCATTCCTTGGGCATTTCAGAAATGGTATTCCTCCCCCAACTACCCCGTCAAAATAAAATGAATTCAGCCAGCTCCTGCTGTGTGTCCTTAAATTCATTCCCTCTAGCTTCGCTGGTTTGAAAGCCTGTACCCTAGAAGGGGCCTCCTGCATTTGCTGGCAACCCTGCCTGAGTCTGATCGCCACAGATAGTGCTTTGGAGTAAAAAAAAAAGGGGGGAAAAACCCTCTCGTTGGAGATTTCAAAACAGATTCTACCAGCTTTCAAATCTGTGCACTTTGCGGAGTGGCAGGGTTTGAGGGAGAGGGGTTGAAGACTTGGGGTGTGGGTGTCTCTCATAAACAAATAAGCAACAGAATTTATATATGTATAAATCTGGGCTTTCCCTTGGCATGTTTGGTGCCTGTCTCCCTGGCATCAAGGGTGGGTGCTGTGTAAGTCTGACCTCTCTCACACTTTTGCTCCGACTTGGGGTCTGAGTGTCGGTGTGTGTGTGTGTGTGTGTGTGTGTGTGTGTGTGTGTGTGTGTGTGTGTGTGTGCGTGTGTGATGGAATTGAGGAGGGGGTTGCTGTGTTTTTGATCCGATTCACTTGACAGATTATTTGAATCCAGCCCACCTTTCCGCACATGTCAAACAGATGGGATCATTGTTAAAAGCCTGGAGAGCCGGGCTGAGCGGTGGGTAAGGCAGGGAGGGGGAAGCAGGAGGGGCACCGAGGGAAAGAAGGGGGCACCTTCCAGGAGCTTTGTGTTTTCACACATTGGAGCTGACAGGAGACCTTCTTCTTTGTGGGTGGGGGCAAGTGTTTGGGGGCATGGGGCTGATGAGGGGGGATGGAAAGGGAGAGAGGTGGGGTGTTGGTGGGCAGGGTTATGATGTCACAGCCAAAGTTACAACAGGAGGAAAACACAGAAATGGTTCAACATTTTTTTTTAAACTTTGGACTGCCAAGAGCTGAAGGAGAGTGGTGAGCAAAGGAATGAAGAGGAGAGAAACTGAACGGGAGGCTTGAGTTTTGTGTTGCCTCTTGAAACCTTATGAATGGATTACCAGCAGCTGAGAGCCAGGAGAGTCCTATAGGGGATGCAAGATCACCCACACACTCAAAGGGGGAGAAAAGCAGGCGGAACCCTCCCATGGTGTGCTATCCTCCTTCCTGAAATGAATGGTAGGAGATGTTTTTCTGAGGGTCCTTGGGGTGGCAAGGGGGTAAGGGGGGGGGTGACTTCTTTTCTTCCCTGATTATCTTCTTTTTCTCTTAAGCTAAGCCACCTCTTCCTGATATTCTCTCTCCCTCCCTCCCTCTCCCCCCTCCCTCTTTCTCTGTCTCTGTCTCTTTTTCCTCCTTGGCTCCCTGGCTCCCTCCCTCCTCCTCTCCTCTGCTTTTCTGGCTTTCTCCATGCCCGCCCCCAGTCTCAATTTCTATTCTTGATCTGCTTCAAGGGGGGAAAACTGAGTCAGAAAAGTGAAGGGAGCTAGGGAAGGGGTAAAAGAGAAGGGACAGTCAGTGGAGGACCGAGGGGTATCAGCTCAGCAACATCCACGTGCCTGCACTGAGAGCTTCCTTGGGGACTTGCTTTGAGGCTCTAGTCCATGCTACATGGGGAAGCAGGGTGCACGTGGGATGGGGTGCACAGGACACAACATCTTTAAAGCAGCTAGGTCAGGGCTCAGCTGGAGTAAAGGAGTTCAGAAAGATAAGGAGACCCAGGGTGAAGGAAGCACCATGGTCTTACTCCAGAGCATGTGGGCTGTGTGATTTAGATATGAGCAACAGAAGCAGTGATTTTAAAAGTGTAAGTGATTTTTCTTATTGCTTGAAAGAAGAATTCAATGCATATTTGTACCTATTTTATACTACCTGTGGCCCAGCATGCCTCTGTCTGGATTTCAGAACTGTTCTCTGCATGTGTCCATGTGTCTGTCCGTGTGTTCTATGTACATGCATGTTCCTGCAAGGGATGGAAACCCCACGAGAAAGCTGGCATCTAATACCTAGGCAAACAGTGCAGAGGTTAAACTCACAGTACTCACTTCCCCATCTTGCCCATTCATTTCAAATCAATTAAAAATTAGCTGCCTCAGTTTAGCTGTTCATTTGTGTAAATTACTTATTTTGAGCACCTCATTTGTTTATTTGTTCACTCAACATATGGTGACTTTTACTAACTTTAGGCTGAGAAACTTCTGAGAGAAAAAAAGACTGTCTCTATGCTAGGAGTACATGGCATTTCCATTTAATGCTTCTCAAGGCAGGGTAATTGATTTCTCCTTTCCTCCAGTGTCCAATAGGAAGTGAATTTTGGTATTGTCCTTTTAAATCTGAAATGATAGGGTAAAATAAGAAAAAAATATAGGAGGCTTGTGATAAATCAAAAGAAAGAAATGTGAACAGTCCCCAAAAGACTAGTGTGTGTTTATTGACCAGGTCCATTCAAAGTGTGTGTGTGTGTGTGTGTGTGTGTGTGTGTGTGTGTGTGTGTGTGAGAGAGAGAGAGAGAGAGAGAGAGAGAGAGAGAGAGAGAGAGAGAGAGAGAAGAAAGAGAGAGAAGCTACACATAGAAAGGCACGCTCCCAAACAGTATTGATTGTTTTCTATTGATTGTGTAGGCTGCAGCTGCTGAGAGAGAAAGCCAGAGATGTTTACTAGGGAAACCAAGAGGAGCATCTGTCCCCTGTGCCTCAGAGAGGTGGGGGTGGGGGAGGCTCAGGAGGAAGGAGGGGACAGGGAGTAGGTGGAGTGATGCACCAAACTTATTAGCTTTGACATCATCATTGTCTTTAAATTCAAACAAAAAAAAAAAACCCAGGGAGATAATTACAGGCAGAGAGAGAGGGAGAGAGGGAGAGAAGGGGAGCAGGAGAGACCGGAGGGAACGGGTCCCTTGACATATATGTGGTTTATGCTGCTCTTTTTATCCATCTTTCCAGAGACCCACCAGGCTCCCAGAAGGTGAAATCAAGGGCTCCCAGTCTCATTTGGTCAAGAGAGCAGCAGACTGGCAGCTAGAGAACTTTACAGAGACTTGCAGCATACCAACAAGTTGGACGGGATAAAAAACTCTCTTCAATAGTCAACAACCCTGAGCGCCACGCTGAGGGAGCGCTCACCTACTCAGGCAGACTGGAAGCTGTATGGACACCTGGCTGAGGACCTCTGAAGAGTGGAAGTTAAGTACCAGCATAGATTTTTATGCCCCCAGACTTTATTGCATTTTTAGATAACAAGAATCAAATTGTGTCTCAGTCTAAAAGTTTTTTTTTTTCCCCTAGCAATTTGCTTTAAGTTGAACATATTTTGGGCGATGGGCTCTAAAAGGGGAATCTGACTCTTAGGGAAGAAAGAAGAGGCAGAGGAGAACATTAGCGAATAAGATTATTTTGAATGACCAGCTAGGGTGCTGTGTTTTGGAGAGAATTTGGCTTACGTCATACATACTCTTCTAGTATCAGTGAGGAGAGGAGTTCCTGAAGGAAGAAAAGGAAACCTGAGGTCTCTGGGAGGAAATTCAAAGTAAGAACAGTTAACTTCATTCTGAAGGACTGAAATCAAGCAAGAAGAGAGGTCAGGGGAGAAGGCTGAGAGAAGCCCTGCAGCAGGAGGAATAGAAGCTACAGGGAGCTGGCTGAATTTCTATGACAGGTAGCCAGGTGGGACATATTCTTGGGGCTCCTTGAAAAAGTTTCGTTTGTGAATCAGTTTCCCTGGTGATTTCAAATCCACTGCTGTTTTTTTTTTTGTTTGTTTGTTTTTGTTTTTGTTTTCGTTTTCCTCTTCTCCCCATCATTCTTGTGTGGTATCCAGAAGCTGACCTCTGGTTCTGAGGAGCAAGTTGAGGGAGGTATGATGTGCTGGAAGGTCCTGAGAGTCAGCCTGGTGGTCCTGGCTGGGTGGGCATTCAGTACCACCAACTCGGAGCTGGGCTGGACACGCAAGAAATTTCTGGCCCAGAGGGGACAACTGACCCAGGTGCTGTTGGAAGGGGAACGTTGTTGGCTGGGGACCAAGATTCGAAGACCCAGAACTGCTCCTCAGCATCATCTCTTTGGGGTCTACCCAAGCCGACCCGGAAGCTACCCGAGGCCCTATGCTGTGGCGAAGAAGCGAACCCAGAATGCAGGATGGAGTCCTCCAGGCATGGAGAGACAGGCTCCGAGTATGGTTCTGCGAGACCTGCCGGAGAAGCCAGCAGGAGTGAGGAGGGAGCCTGAGCAGCCAGCTGCCCTGTGGGTAGGGGATGGTCCTATTGGGCAATCAGAGCTGCTGAGAGATGATGACACTTATGTTGGCAACGGAGGATCCAAGGAGGCGCTAGGTGAGTCTGTGACTCGGGAAAGCTCAGAAACGGCTGCCTCCACCATCACCACCTTTGCATACCAGAAAAGACCCACAGCAGAGACCCAGAGGAAGGGCCAGGCCAGGTCTAGGCTTCCTCGCCAAGTGCTGAAGAGGCAGGCAGAAGATGTGACCAGAGACTCCCAGAATGCCCCTCTAGATTTCCAGCTCTGGCCTAAGAACTCCCTTAAGCACGGAGATAGTGACAGTCCATTGGAGGGCACCATCCAAAATGGTGGAGGGGGCTCTGCCTGGGGCGCAGAGACCTTTAACCTCCAAGGAAGATTGCCTGTACTGTACTTCTCTGGGAAGAGGGAGCGGCTGCTGCTGCGTCCAGAAGTGCTGGCTGAGAGTCCCAGGGAGGCGTTCACTGTGGAAGCCTGGGTGAGACCAGAGGGAGGACAGAGCAACCCAGCCATCATCGCAGGTAATGTCCCACTCTACTCCTGGGCTTTCTCAGGTCCCGGGGGTGTGTGGCCAGCTCCATTTCAGTTGTGGGTAGACACAGAGAACGAAAAAGGGGTACAGAATAAAGCAGAAAAGCTAGGAAGGCTTGGCCAGAGGGGATGTGTGGGTGTGGGGCTTGTTTCTCAGAGCCGAAGTACCGCAGCAGGCACCATCAAAGGAAAGATGACTCCTACCCACAACATCATTACTGCTATCGATCTCTTGGAGTTCTATACATTGTGCTTGCACTTAGGAGACCTCAGCTTAGCTCTTTTCCCTTGTTAAAGGGAACGGACTTGGATTCTTTGCCAAGGAGGAAGGGGAGTCACAGCCTGCTTCTCACAGTCTAGCCTGGGATACCCAGGCACCTCTGGAAGCTGATGGGAGTGCAAGGATGGTAGCAGTGAGTAATGCCCAGTTGGGTCCAAACAGCAAGGGAACAAGGCTGCTGCCCTGGAACTAGGAAGAAAGGTAGCATCTGTTCCACATCCTAGGGTCCCCTTCACTTCACCCCAACAGATCTCCTGGAAAAGATGGGCACTTACAGGCCAGGGTCCTCACTTCCAGCCCTGGCTGTTGTGAAGACCTAACTATAAAAGCTTATTTACCATGTCCAACTCTATAATATTAACTAGCGGCACTGGCTTGGGCTTGTTACCTGTGTTTATTTTGATTACTAGAGAAACACCTAGAAAAACAAAGAAAAGAGATGCGTTTGGAGTCGTGTCCCTCCCCCTTTCTTATCTGGAGAGGTTGATTTCTGGCAAGGGGTGAGGAAGGGATTTGACTGTATCTTTTATCTTTTGCTATCTTGTTATTCTTTTAGGCACTCCACCAAGGAAGAGTGTGAAAAATAAGCATAAAGGATAATAATATGTGTGCATGAGAGTGTCACAGTGAGAGCAGTTAGTGCCTACCCTAGATAAAAACTAATCAAATGCTTATCAGAAAAAAAAAAAAAAGAATGGCACCAATTTGGATTAGTCAACCCCCCTTTCATGTCTGTTGGTCCCATTCCATTGATGGAGAAACTGAGGCATGGAGAGTCATGTCAGGGATAGGCTAGGGGAAAAAATGCCAGAATTACTGAATCACTTGCTAACTCCTCAAACAAGACAAAACAAAACAACAAACAAACAAACAAACAAACAAACAAACAAAACCCACTCAGGTTGCCGAGTGCCTCCAAATGAGTTGCAGACTAGGCAAAAAAAAAAAAAAAAAAAAAAAAAAAAAAATCTGGAGGGAAGGAGCCTCCTCCAGTGGGGTGTCGTGGAACATCCTTGTGGACACTCTGTCTCCCCCTCTTTGGCTGCGATTTCTTATTTGGAATCTGGGATTCCCAGACACTGAGCACTCTCCAGTCATGTGGCTTTGCTTTATTTTAGTTTTGGGTGGGAGAGGGGGTGAGAGAAGGGGCCAGGCTGTAAGCTAGGTGGGGGCAGAGAGAGAATAGAAGGAAATCCTTATTCTGGGGCCAAAATGGAAGAAATAATGAGATGATTATCTGATCGGAGCTGGCAGCTTCACAGTTTCCCCCAGATGACATCTTCTTGCTGCCTAGTCTGGCTTCCTAGTGCCCATCTGCCAGGGAGACTGCATGCTTGCAGTCTAGATTGAGGCCCATGGCTCTGACTAGGCTTCCTTCTGCAGTAGAAACATAGAGACCTGGGATCAGTTCCCTGGCTGTGAAGAGTGAGAGAATCCAAAAGGAATATATGTGGGAGGCTCGGGGGGGGGGGGGGACGACGGACTATTGCTTGGGGTTATTAAAGTCCAATCCTGAAAAACAGGAACATGGCACCTGACCTCCGCAGTTTCCTTTCTAGTCCTGTCTCACACTCTTCAAGGAGAGTGATGTCATGATTAGACTACAGTTCCAGAATCCTTTGCCTCACCTCTGGCACACTTATCCTCATCTCCATGTGCCTCCCTGCCCTGCCTGTCTATCACCAGTGACTGTCTCCATACTGCCACAGTACACATTCAGATTCTTCCAGAGCCCATTGGAACCCTCTTAGCCTCTCAAAGCATGAAGAATTGGGGAGGAAATCTTCAGTAATTTAGCTTCTAAGATTTCTTTTTCCTCAAATCTAAGTGGCTCCTGTGGTGTTCTGGGACTTCCCTTTTTAGGTCTGCTTCTAAAAGGTGGAGGGTAGAGGACAACCAGGACTGTCTTTCCTGTGTTCCATCCTCTGTCTTTCTTCAGACTTGTGCATGGTCCAAATTATCAAGGGATGATTTAGGGTAAAAGCCTGTGGGAGGCAGGGGCTGATAATAAGGGCTCTATTCTCTGATCTTAGCAAGTGGCCTGCTGAGAACTTAGCATCTATGCCTCCCCCATTGTCTTAGCTGCTGTTATTTCACTAAGGACCATGAGGTTACCAAGTCAAATTGTCAGTAATAAGAGCCTCTACTTTTTAATGAGTTCACTCACATCTCTCAACAACCCATCTTCCTTTTTCCCACTGGCATGAGCCCTCCAGCTGGTCACTATTTGGTCCTGGTGTGGTGGAACTTGAGTTACACAGAATGACAATGTAGAATTAAGTTGCTGGGAGATGCACACAATCCTGTAGCTTCACTTCTGCTGTTCCTCTGAGGGTGGGCCAACATGCTGCAAGACTTGGCTCTCACTCTGCCAACAGCTTTCAGACCTCCTCAGGTTCCGCCTGTTTAACTCAAACCAGCTTCTAAGTCCTCTACCTACCATGCTTGGGGTATTTTCTCCTCAGCAGAGACCTCACATAATTACTCAACACCAGTCACTGCATAAGAAGCCCCTACCCACAGTTGTGGAGCCTTGGGGAATCGTTCCATCACAGGGCACTAGGTGGCAGTGTTGTCTCATGCACCGGAGTCCCGGAAGCCACAAAGTGGGGAATGTCTCTCATTTCCTTGAGGGCTGTCCTGTCCCAGCCTCTGGGCTGTAATTTAATCACCTTCTCCCAAAATGTTGTTGGTAGGCATCCCTCGGGGTCCACTTCATATAAGTCTTTTTTTGTGTGTGTGTGGAAAGGCCTGTCTGGAATAGCTTAAGCAGCTTTTTGAGAGTAGTGACTAACTTGTAGTTCTAGCAAGAAGTGAAGAAAACAAAATCAGCTAGAATTACCTTCTCCCGGCCCTCTGAGTTCCCGCATTCTTCTGAAATAAGTCAGACTCCAGAATGAGCTGCAAGAATGCTTTTCTTGAGGGTTGAGGGCATGCAGAGCGTGCAACCGTCACGTGTTGAGGACACCCCTCACCCCCCACCCCCCATCCTCTGGGCTTTCTGAAAGGTAGACCTTTTGAAGTTGCCTATTTCCCACAGCTGGAGCTGACCTGGAGCATCAGAGAGCAGACTGCTCCATGGTGGGGTTCTTCACAAAGGTAGCCAGTTAAAGGTCTGGCACATTGAGGCTATGGGCAAGCTCGGAGTAGCCTGAGGTTAGGAGCCCATTAGGCTGGGCCATTAAAATTTAGTGGTTGAATAAGCCATCTTCTGTCCTTTTCTAGTGTGGATTCCTTAAGGTCCAGTGCCTAACTCTGAAGCCATCTGAGCCTTCACTACCTCTTCAACTTCCTTTCCTCTCCTTCAACCCTAACATACACAAAAGAGAACATTTTAATAGGGACCTGCACACCCATAATTGATTTCAAATGATCCCTGAAGTCGTCCAGCTGAGTAACCACCTGCAGCTCTGAGCTACAGGACACTGAGTCATTGAGTCCATGGTAGGTTGGAGCCCAAGCCCAGAATTCTTAATCCAACAAATATTTATTGAGTGCCTTGCCATGCAATGTGTGGCAAGTCATTGAGGGGAATACACAGATGTCTGAAAAACTGTCCTTGACATGAAGGCAAGTTTTGGTCCTCTGAGTGTCCAAGATTTGCAACATGTCCCAGTGTAGAGCCTGGGGACAGATAGACTTGGAATTGAATCTTTCTTTGACATGCAACGGCAGCTTTTTTTTTTTCCTCTCTGAGCTATGCTTTTCTCAAATTGAAAATCAAAGGAAAAGTATGATTACATATATATGATTCCATTTCAAATAAAGTTGGAAAAAACTCTCAAACAAAAGGCAAATAAGGAGACACCCTGAAGAGTTAAGCGTTTTAAATAAGTCATGTAGATAAACTGCTGGACACAAGACTTGGCTGTGGGACTTGTATACTCACCAGTGACATGAAAGGTATTTAGCAGGAGACATGCAAATTAAATTAATTTCTAATTTAATTCTAATTTTTCCTTAGCAGAGATACTAACATGAATTCCTCATGAATTTAATTTGATAATCTATAAAACAGGAATGGCTGTAGCTTTTTTTTTCTTCAAAATGTGATCTTAAGATAAAAATGGTAGACTTAAAAGCCCAACTGGATCCATTTATTTCATTAAAAAGTTTCATCTGATCTTTCAATTTGAGCGGCACTATTTCAGATCAATTGGGCAATGGTGCTAAAAACATTTATTTTATTTTTCTGAGCCATAAACCTTATTGAATATCTCATGAGATCTGTGCTTACTTCATAGAAAAATGTACATACTTATCTGGGTTTCCTGACAGCCAGACACTACCGACATTGGGTCACTGTTCAGAACCTCTTGCTAGCTTTTCTGTGTGAGTAACGTGTATAGAATGAGGTTTTAGGGTAAAGAGTTCTTGATCATAGGGAATGCAAAGCTTTGCAGAAGGCATGGGGGCAGAGATGGGAAGAGTCCAAGGAGGCCACCTTGATTCTGCAGACTCACACAGGGAAGGAGCAGCGTCTGTACCTTTCCCAGAGCTCCCCTGCAGACAGGGGTCTCTGTTACACCCTTTGATTGCATCCCTACAGGCAGTAATGGTCAAGTCAGGTGTTTGTCCTCCTCAGACCCTGGGGAGTCATCCTGCTCCTCTCACATCCAACTTCTGGATTAGAACTCAAATTTCCAGTAAAGTTGTCATGACCCTGTTTCTGGCACAGAGTCATTCATGTGAGGGCCCGCAATGTCTCCT